AAAACTTTTCTGACTCACGCAAAACTCGGGTACAAATAGTAAATGCATAGTGGTTTAAACGTATATATAGGTATATATATATTTTTATCAATAATGGACATTTTCTTCAATAATAATCCACAAAGTAATAGAGATATTTATTTAAATGGGATAAAACAATTTCACATTTAAATTGAGAAAACTGTTTGGTATCATCTACCAAAGTTTGGTTCTCCATAACTAATTTTTTATTTGCTATATAGAAGCGACTAGACCGTTTGATTCTTCAAATACATTAATTTTTGGTACAGCCAACTAAATTTCTTGATTGATTGACACTTTCTATTATGTGTGACAACCATATTTTAGTAACGTTAACAAAAAATGCTTAAGTAAATTATTTTTATTTTCTTATTATTACGAAATTATTTTTCTCAATATAATACGAATTTACTCTAGCACGTCAAATTTTTTAGAAGTGTCAAAAAGCGTGTTTAATAATAATATTTATCTTTTTTTTTTAAATTAAATTAACATTTATTATTTAATTGGTATTTAGTAATTAAATTTTGAATAGAGAAAAATTGTATTTCTAATTATTTGTAAGAAAGGAATAAATAGATAAAAGTTTTTTCACTTATTTATGACAAGGAATGCTGTTAGAGTAAGAAATCTGATTTTTACTGATTCGTACTTTTTTTTTGAACTCGTTCTTATACCCTCGATGTCTCGTGTCAATAGCGAGAGAGTTAGCATACAACCACCCTGCGGCGAAGAATTGAACTATGTTTTATGGTTACCGACACACGATAAAACAGTTTAATTCTTCACCACAGGGTGGTTGCATACTAACTCTCTCGCTATTGACACGAAAATTGTAAAATATTAAAATTAATAAATATAGAAGAAGCACCGCTAAATTTTCTACATTTTATTTACAAACAAATTTTTTATTTATATTTACAAATTTTATAGACAGTTTTATATTTACACAAAATTTTATATTTATATTTACATTTTTGAATAAAAACTTAAATTCTTATTTTCGAGAATTATTTAGGAAAAATGGTATTCGGATTTTCAGGCATTTTGGTTTTTTGTTGTTTGGGAAATTGACCGGGGACAAAAATTAATAATTCTGATTATTTAAATTATATTATTCAACGAAAGATTCATTATATTGAGTGATATCGAGACGCTTACTTTTCACCGAACGGTCAATATGTCGAACAGACAAAATGTCGAAAAGCCATAACCTCGAAAAGCCAAGACGTCAAACGGTCAAAATGTCGAAAAGCCAAGACATCGAACAGTCAATACATCGAACGGACAAAATATCGATAAGCCAAAACATATCGAACAGCCAATACGTCGAACGGACAAAATGTCGAAAAATTTTATTGACTCAAGTATAATTATAGTTAAGTCAATAAAATTTTTCGACATTTTGTCCGTTCGACGTATTGGCTGCTCGATGTTTTGGCTTTTCGATATTTTGTCCGTTCGATGTATTGACTGTTCGACGTCATGGCTTTTCGACATTTTGCCAGTTCGACGTATTGGCTTTTCGACAACTTGCCATTCGACATTTTGTCTGTTCGACGTATTGACCGTTCGGTGAAAAGCAAGCGTCTCAGAGATATCTTATTTGAAATACAATTTTGAATTTGAATTGTTTTCGCGCCGCAGCGTCTGCCGGCGTTCCGGCAAGAAAATGTGCTCGAAACTCAATTACTTTGCTTTGTCTACCTGCATTGCAAAAGACCATATAACCAAAAAAAAAAAAAAACTCACTTGCTTTATAGTGATCGGTGAACCACAACTAGAGAAAATTCTATTATAACAATTAATTAGTCAAAAAAAACCCTGACGAGTTTTACTCTATAGGGAATTTGCAATTGAATATCGTAAGGTGAGTTAATTGTACACTATTTGTGAATATATGAGCAAATCCACGAAACTTTTAACTTTTGTGATTTTCGAATCGAACACTTAAAAATCTAAATCATTTTTTATTAAAACTTTGGGTATCATTTTTTTTTTTTTGCTAAATTATATACAAAGGAACATTTATGTGCAGTATTAGAACAAAATATTTATTTAACAATTAGTTTTATAAGTTAAAAAGTGAAAAAATGCTTAAATTTCATTTGAATTTCTTGAAAAAGTTTATATTCTTAACGTTTTTATTTTTGCGGCGTGTAAAATATCACTTCAGCTATACTATGGAAATATCAAACAGACATATTTTGTCAAAAAATTTTCAATATCCCATTAGTGTGCCACCACTAAAACTAAAAATACGATGGTTTGATTGAGTGATAGCACTTTTTTAAAAAAATCAATTGAACGCATTTCTTAAAAGGTGATGAAAAAACAAAAATTTTAAGACCTTTTTCAATGATGTGCCTCTAATATTTTATTCCTGTGGCAACAATTTAAAGATGATAATAAAAATCGTGATTTCATTTAAATTTATACATTTTTGAAAGGCACAAGTGCATTTTTGCTTTAAACAGGTCAATCTATGGTGTGATCGAAACATTTTCATACATATATATTTGAACACAAAAACGCCGCTTAAGGATTTTGAGTGAAATAAATTTTATTAAGTTAAGAATATGCTGAAAACACTTTTTTGGAGTCTTTACCCCCTCTTTTCTCAAAATCCTGACGTGCTAAGCAAATTTGGGTGACAGAATCGTGTTCAGAGGACGAAAATATTTTGGAAACCACTCCGATATCAAAAATAAAAAAAGTTGAGTTTTTCAATTTTATATGTAATTTATTAACGTTAAAGAGTTTAAACATTGACGGCGTGAGCTAAAAATGAATCACATATATAAATTTGTAGTGCTAAAATGTACTTAAACGTGTATACAAAGTGACATCAATGTGCCTGCAAATTAAAAAAAGAAATTTTTTTTTCTTGAAAGTTAAAACTTTCGTGGATTTGCCCATATATTTCCATCCTTTTTTTGTTGTTGTTTTTTTGTAACTATTGCAGTCGACATTGACGATATGTGACGCTACACGACAAAAAGCACCTTAGCAACTTAAATACTACCGATTCGCACATAAAACTGAAAATTAATTTTTTGGGAGCTAAGGTGTTATTTGTCGTGTAGCGTCACATTATGTTGATGTTTATTTTTACTACCATTGTCAAATCTCATGTTCACGATAATTTTTCTTTCTTTTATAAAAATCTTTTTGTTCAATTTAGCGTAAATATAATAATATTAGCCAACAATGGCACATTATGTTATTCTATTATGATATATTGTATTTTTTGGTTGTGAAACTTGTGTATATTAATCATAGTGAAACAAAAATGCCCTCGCCTTTCGTATTTTCTGCACGAAGAAAAATATCAAAACTTTTTAGCAGAAAACTACTTATACATATATATATATAGGTCCGTTAACCTGGCTTGTCCACATTGTCCGATCTGGATAAAACCTATTTGAAAATTAAGGGCTAATTTAAGGCTAATTTAATGCCCTAATGCCGAATTTAATGCTCGGCATTTTCTTTAAAAAACTTGTGGACAAGCTAGCTTAACATTAAGGTGGCTTGTCCACACAATGAAGGAGCACTCGTAGGAAGGCCTACTATAGGTCAAAATTTAGGGCTTTTTTAAGGCTCTTGAATGCTCTATTGTCGAATTTAATGCCGGCATTATTTCGCGAATTATTTGCAAAAATTCAATTTTTACGTTATCTCAGTTTGTCCACACAATGAAGGAACACTCGTAGAAAGGTCTACTATGGGTCAAAATTTAGGGCTTTTTTAAGGCTCCTTAATGCTCTATTGCCGAATTTAATGCCGGCATTATTTCGCGAAATAATTGAAAAATTCAATTTTTACTTGATATCAGTTTGTCCACACAATGGAGCACTCATAGGAAGGTCTACTATAGGTCAAAATTTAGGGCTTTTTTAAGGCTCTTGAATGCTCTATTGTCGAATTTAATGCCGGCATTATTTCGCGAATTATTTGCAAAAATTCAATTTTTACGTTATCTCAGTTTGTCCACATCATGAAGGAACACTCGTAGAAAGGTCTACTATGGATCAAAATTTAGGGCCTTTTTAAGGCTCCTCAATGCTCTATTGCCGAATTTAATGCCGGCATTATTTCGCGAAATAATTGAAAAATTCAATTTTTACTTGATATCAGTTTGTCCACACAATGAAGGAGCACTCATAGGAAGGTCTACTATAGGTCAAAATTTAGGGCTTTTTTAAGGCTCCTCAATGCTCTATTGCCGAATTTAATGCCGGCATTATTTCACGAATTATTTGCAAAAATTCAATTTTTACGTTATCTCAGTTTGTCCACATCATGAAGGAACACTCGTAGAAAGGTCTACTATGGATCAAAATTTAGGGCCTTTTTAAGGCTCCTCAATGCTCTATTGCCGAATTTAATGCCGGCATTATTTCGCGAAATAATTGAAAAATTCAATTTTTACTTGATATCAGTTTGTCCACACAATGAAGGAGCACACATAAGAAGGTCTACTATAGGTCAAAATTTAGGGCTTTTTTAAGGCTCCTCAATGCTCTATTGCCGAATTTAATGCCGGCATTATTTCACGAATTATTTGCAAAAATTATGTTTAACATTACAAAAGTTTGTCCAAAAAACGAAGGAATACTCCTAGGAAGGTCTACTATAGGTCAAAATTTAGGGCTTTTTTAAGGCTCCGCAATGCTCTATTGCCGAATTTAGTGCCGGCATAATTTCGCGAAATTATTGCAAAAATTCAAATTTATCGCTGGGTCATTCCATTATATTTCACCTAAAGTCGCTCTCTAAATTTGAATCAGTGAAAATTTCACTGAATGAAATAGTAGTTTGATATTTCACTGATGAATCAGTAACTTAACGGCTTTTTACTGATTAATTCAGTAGTTTTCAGTCCAGCGTGCTTACTGGGGCGAATCAGTGAACTTAACGCAGGCGCAGTTACTGAAATATTTTAACCTGTATGCAATAGTTGTTGTTCGTGAGTTCGATTACTGAATTTACTGTTATGATACTGTGGTGTTATGATCCTGAGCGAGATAAATTTTATTATTTATTTATGAATATAAAATACTAAAAGATAATTATGATAAACATTTGTCAGTGCGCGTAATAACTACTGTTCGTAAGTATTCCACTATTTATTTATTTATAATTTTATTAAATAATAAATTGCTTTCTTTGAATTTGATCTAATACGTCGATTTAAACTTAATAGGTTATGTTAATTTCTGAATCGTGACATTTATAAAAATAATGTAAATAATAAACGTGACTAAAATACTTATGACAGTTCTTCGCGACTATTAATATTTAATGTGATTATTGTTTTTGTCTTTTGCAAATGTGTAATGTTTCCACTAAATTATATTTTTCATTCACAATCTATAGATTGAAGTTTTTTCATCAAGTTCGAGTCTTCTCGTGTTCAATCGAGTTTCGATTCGACATTTATTGAGTTGCAGTTTTCGAGATTTCTCGAACTGTCATTTTTAGCAGCGTCTTCGGTCTCTTAAAAAAGAATAAAATAGAAAACTGTTTTTTTTTTTCAACTGCCACTAACTGTAAGTACTCTTTAATTTATTCATAATATAAAGAATTATTTTTATTCTTTCCTGATGATTTTTCAAAGATAACCTTAAAATCTCACACTGTAAAGAAAAGGCAATGAATTTTGTAGTTCGAATAATAAAATAATAATTTTGTAACGAATTTCGTTAAAAAATTGTGTCATTTTAGAGCATTCGTAGTTCTGAGGTTAGAAGTACCCGATCCTGTAAATTTAGGCCAATTTCAGAATGGTCTCGACACAACAGTCACGACGCATCGCAATGCTAAAATCGCAATGGGGATGCATGGCATCTAATGTATAATTTAAATTCTTAAAGTTTTTCTATATTTGTATTTTTAAACAATAAAAATAATTAATTAGAACAAATTATATTTACAAATTTTTAAATTATATTTTTCCTCAAAAACAATATTTTGAGGTTAACTTTGGAAAAAAATCTGATTTTTTTTGACAAATAAAATGTAACAAACTTCTATTGTATTTATAATATATTAATAACTTAAAGAAGATAGTTGTTATTGTTGAAATGTTGTTTATTTTCAGATACAACTTGGAATTAGGAATGAATTTCGAAAATTTTTCAGTGGAGGAGCTAGCTGCTCATTTAAGAAATGAAATCGACGAGGAAACAATTGAAATCTTAAAAGGTATATAATTAATTTTACTATTAACATTTAAATTTAATATTTATTGTTAAAAAATTTAATTTCATAAAAGCAATAATTCAATCTAAATTTAAAATATTTTTGTAACAGCATATTTAGGGCTGTGTTGTTGATTGAAATAAATAATTAAAAAATGGAGCGTATTAAATGTTTCAAATGCAGACAATTTGTGAACGGAGGATTGGACGGTTTAAGCACACACTTAAAATTTAATCACGGAATGACCATAAATAGAGGGTATGGTCATACTGGATTCGAATGTGCTCAAGATGAATGTCAGAAGCGGTTCGCTCTTTTTAGTTCATTGCGACGACATATTGTAGAACAGCACTTAAATCAACAAGATTTTGTAGAAAACGTGGTAGAAATTGGGGACGAATTGTTAAATATAAATAATGATGGACTTGAAAATGAATTTGAGAATGCAAATGACAACGAACAAAGAGATTTTGAAGAGTTTCAAGAGTATGAGAATGTTCACTTTGACAATCATTTACGTTCATTAGTTGCTTGTATGATAAGCAGATTACAATCAAAACCTTCCATGACTGGAGCATCTGTAGCAGATGTATTAGATGAATGTGAACAGCTTTTAAAAAATTTAACGCGCTTTTTAAAATTCAAAGTAAGAAATTTTTTACGCGACAGGGAAATTCTTGACAATGAGGAAGGTCAAGAGTTACTAGGTCATTTTAATTTTGAAAATGTATTTTCTGGATTGCAGTCTACAGAACAACAAATAAAAGTTCTAAAAGAAAATTATAATTATATTGAAGCCGTGGAAATTCCTCTAGGTCACAGGGAAGATACTGGGCTTGATAAGGAATCGGGAACTTTCATTCCTAAATTAGTGCCGGAGACGTTTCAGTACGTTCCCATTATTAAAGTCTTATCTTTGATTTTACAAAATGATGAAGTTAGAAACGCCATTTTATTGGAATCTGGATCTGAAGAAGGAGTTCTTAGTTCCTTTGTCGATGGTCAACATTTCAAGCAACACGAGTTCTTTCAGAGGTATAAAAACGCCATAAGAATCGAAATCTATTTTGATGACGTTGAAATAGCTAACCCTTTGGGTTCAAAAACTGTCATACATAAACTCGGAGTCGTCTTATATAGAATTCAAAATATGCCAGTGCATATGAATTCTAAATTAGGAAGCATACATACAGCTTGTATAGCATATAGCGATGATATAAAGAAATACGGATTTGATAAAATTTTCCATCCTTTTATGCGTGATATAAAAAAATTGGAGTCGAATGAAGGTGTGACCATCCAGATAGGGAATGAAGATTTTATTCTTCGAGGTAGCATTGCAGGATTTTGTGGCGATGGATTAGCTGTTCAACAAGTATTTGGACTTCTTGAGCCTGCTGCCAATAGATTTTGCAGAATGTGCCTCATAACCCGTGCAGAACTTCATGAAAGAGATTTGACACCTAAAGAAGAAAGAACGAAAGAGATTTTTGAGCATCATATCGAACAAATAAAAAATGCAAGAACTAGAGTACGACAACAAGAGATTATGACAGAAACAGGAGTTCGTAAAAACTGCCCCTTAAATGAATCGAAATACTTTCATAATTCTCGGAATAAAATTTTTGACCCAATGCATGACTTTTTCCTTGGTATTATTCCCATGACTTTAAAATTAACAATACATCAGTTTGTATTTGTGGATCATCTTTTCACGGTTTCTTATTTAAACGATCGTATTTCTGCATTTAATTATGGAGTAACAGAATCGAAAAATAAGCCATCATCAAATTTTACAGAAGCAATAGTACGTAATATCGACGATCATTCTCTTCCACAGAAAGCCATGCAAATGTGGTGTTTGATTAGAGTATTCCCCTTTTTAATGACTGAAAAAGTAACACACGGAAATAAATATATGAACATAATTACTTTGCTCCTCCGAATACTAGAAATTGTCATGGCACCTAAAGTAACGAAAAGTATTCTACCTTATTTGAGACATTTAACAACAGATTTTTTCGAAGTCTTCGGGCAGTTGTTTCCTGGTGTGAATTTCATTAATAAATTTCATCATGCAAGTCACTATGCCGATTGCATGGAATGGTCAGGACCAATATGTCTTTATTCTTGCATGAGATATGAAGCAAAGCATGGTCCAATGAAACAAAGAGCTCAGGTCATACATAATTTTAAAAACTGCCCAAAAAGTCTCGTTCGAATTCATCAAAGCACTCAATCTGCATTCTGGGGAGCACAAGATGTTACACTTTACACTGTGCAATGTGAACAGGGTGAAATGGTGCAAGTGTCAGATTGTTTAAGCACAAACGAATTACACCATCTTGGTTACATCGAAACAGATAGAGTATTTAGTGCAAAGTCAGTAAGAGTAAATGGCACTCTTTACAGAAATTGTCTCATTGTTTGCCTCGATGTTAAAGGTGAGAAAGATGTAAACTTGCCTAAATTTGGATACATTACCGAAATAATTGTCATAAACAGAAGAGAAGTGTTTCTCCGATGCATTCAATGTGAAACAATTAGCTTTGATCCCGACTTAAATGCTTTTTCTATTGAAATTGACGAGGAAAGAGGTTTAACATGTTTCGTGTCTACAAATAACCTGGGACATTACAAAGCATTGTCTATATGGTCGCATACAAAGTCGGATGAACTTTTTGTCAGTTTGCGACATATCCTACTCTAAAAATTTCAATAACGCATAAATATATTTTTTGCAGACCAGCAAATCGATGGAAGCAGTTTTTTAGAGCTTACATTACATGATTTGGTGGAATTAATGAAAATAAAAATAGGACCTGCAAAGAAAATACAAAAGATAATTAAAGAAAATCATGGATTTGGGATTCAAATGGTTGAAGAGGTAAGTTTATTATTTTCTTACTGACACTAAATATTTCTATCACTCGAACTCAAGCTTTTATTATTTTCTAGGTGAGAGAGTTCGTTGTAAATCCTCAAACTGGAGCATTAATTGATATTCCACAGGCCAAAATTAATGTCTTGCAAGCTTCACAACGTGTGAATAGACCGTCAACAAGCTCATCTACAGTGGAAGACACTCCTTTCTCAGTAAGTTAATAATATGTTCACAAAATTGGTTTTATTTAAATAATGACATCTATCAAGAATATACTACAGTTTATAAAACAATTATTTGAATTTAAATAATAAATGTAGAAAAATAAAAAAAGTTTCTTAATATTTTTATACAGAAATATAAAACAGTCAGAGAAACATTAGAACATCACGCGCAAGGAATTCATCTTATAAATGTTATTGATAAAGGACAATTTGGAGAAGAAGATCGACGTGCCTTGGTGCGAATACTGGTCTCTGAATTAATCAATGAATATAAAAATCTGTAAGTATTGATATAGTTTTTTAAATAAAATCAAATTATACAATTTAAACTACGTTTTTATTTTTGTTAAATTATTTACAATAATAAATAGTGTTCTTATATTCTTTTAGATATCCTCCAGATGATGCAAAATGGGCGTTAGCTAAAGCTATAGTTAGGGAATTTCCTTCCTTGAGAGAACAAAGTAGAGAAGCATCAGCAGGTTGTGTAAGTATTCTAATTATTTTTCTAGTCTTTACTTATTTATTATAATATTTAACTATTGTGAACATATTATTTTAGGAACATTTTTTTGATAAAAATACAAGAAAAGGATTTATAGAGTTTAGACTCTGGAACGCTCGAAAAGTAGTCAGCCCTTCAAAAAAAAAATACGTTACAAAGAACGTAAAAAATTCTAAGAAAAATTGTGCAAGTAATAAAGCTGCTGCAGTACAGAACTTATTATCTTCGGAAGAATTAGAAGAAAAAGTACACGCTATAAATATAACTCATAACTTAAAAATTTGCCGATTTATAAACTCATTATGTTTTTTTTATTAATTTTTAATTAAATTCTTATCAGGCTTTCATTTATAATATCTTGCAGATATCTTGGATGCAACTTACTATGCCTCGACCTGATAAAAAACGAGGATTATGCGATTGTTTAATGGAAACTTTTGACGACCGACGCAACTGGATTGTAAATGAGAATCCTACAATTCATGACATTATGTCAAAATATCCTCGCCTTTTTGATTTTCATGGAGAAATGGTAAACATACATCAAAATAATCATTGTTCAAAACATTAAAGAAGTTTTTTTACTTGCAAACTGAACGGTTTAGTAAAAAAAATTTCTCGATAGAACTTCAAATTTATAAGTAGAAGAGTTTAAAAATAATATCAAATCTTTTTTAGATTGAATTGGAGTTTACAAAGTTATTTAATGAAGAATTAAATAATAATTTTTTAGCATGTTTCCCTGCAAACTACACAGCAATTATTATTGGATATTGTAAAGTAAAGCGTCCTGACATTTTTCGAAAAGCATCTATTTTAAAAGACGGTGAGTTTTTTTTCTTATAAATCGAAATGTAATATTCTACCGTTTTACACTTTTTTAAATTACTTATTATTCTGATTATTTGTGTTTTATAGAAAATTGGAAAGCTTTGGCTATCTTAGATGCTTTGTTGCCAACTTCAAATTTTGCAAAAAAGAGGAAAGTTAATGAAGCGTCAAAAGGAAAAAAGAAGGTTAGGTATTTTTTCAAATTCTTTGTATTTCAAACCAATTGAGGAGCAATTTTTCAAAATCTGATAAATATATTTTTCAAAAAAATTGAGATAAACACAAATTTAAGATATTAAGGATACTTTACGAATCGATTGGTCAAAGATGAATTTAGGAAAAAAAATTTATTATCAAAAATTTTTAATTTTAAAATCATTTGGGCCTAACCTAGATGATTTATAATTCGTTTTTTTAATAGAGAAGATAACTAAAACCTTTAAACTCCCTAATTATAATGGACTTCAATTGCAAACGAAACTTCTTAATTCTAAAAACATTCAAATAAAATTAATTTTATACAAATTTTTACATTGAAGTAAACTTTAGTGGTTATGTGAGAAATGTTTGTTGTGAAAATTGTTTAAATTTATCGAAACGATAAAATGTGAATTTACTCGCTATTGAAAAATTGTTCCTCAATTAAAACACAGTAAGTTACATACGCGAGCAAAAGAATTTATAAAGTATTTTAATATTTACAAAAATTTTCAGGCTAAAATTTCAGAGGATCAAGTACAAGAAAAACAAATTACCGACGTCAGTTCTTCTACAAAAGTTTTTCCAAATCCTGATTTGATCAGAATTCTTCCGGTAAGAATTGTTAAATGATTCAATATTATAATTTTAATAAGGAAAATCGTCTTATAATAATAATTTAAAATAAACTTGAAAAAAATTGTTAGTGATATGTGATTCCTAAAGTATAAATTAAAACAACAAAATTAATAATGATTCAATTTATTTTTAAACAGATTTTATTCGTAGGATGTAGTATAATGTATAGATTTTACATAAAGAAAAATTTATTTTAGGAAGGAACAAAGGTAACGGATTATATTCAAAACGTTATCAAGGAAGCAAGTGGATGTATTCAACCCTATGTAATATGTGTAACAGGACAAAAAATTGACACATATTTTATTCAACTCGATGGTAAACTAATAGAAATGGACTCAAATGCACATCCAATCATCGCTTTCGATATCCTTTTTAAAATACACTTTATTACAAATGTCCATTTTTCTAATTCTCTTTTTTTCTTCTACAATTTTGTAGAACATTATGTCTATAAAGGACAAGTTATTGTTAAAAATTCAGTTGCATCTCTGCATTCTTCTCTTAATAATTTTAAAGAGCAATAATTTTTTATTCATTTAAAGGAGTTTGTTGTTTAAACGAAAAATAATGTTCACATGTCGAATTTTTTGATTGTCATTAAATAAATGTAACTATCCAATCTTACTTTTTAAAATTTATTTTTTAAAGATTCAGACAAACAAAACATTACATTTTCGTGTTTTTAAATAAAAAACAATTTTTTCATCAAAAAGTTCATTAGTAAAAGTATAGGCATTTTTATCTTTAACTGTTTAAATCAATAAAAGCTGCATTTATTTGGAGAAAGATTAAAAATTTCTGTCTGTCGGAAAAGACTGACATATTTTAGGTTATATTGCCAAAATCAATGCTTTCAACTGTCAAAAAATTGTATATTTTTAAATGCAATTTTCCATGGTTGAAAATTATACTGTTTACACTTGAACATTTACATTATTGAAGTTTTAATTGTTTTTTACTTAAATATACAAAAATATAAAGTTGAACTCAAAATTTACATGTTGATTCCCATTAATGAAAAATATTTTACTGATTTAAATAGTCAAGTATTTACTGCAAATCAGTGATTTCAACTATTTGAATTAGTACTTTCTGCTACTGTTTCAATCAGTGGTGATAAAGTCACTGATTGAATCAGTAACATTTCACTGATTTGCAGTCGCTAAATTCCAGCTATTTAAATCAGTGATATTTCACTGCAAATCAGTGGAATTTCACTGTTTCAAATTTAGAGAGCGTTGCGGCCTAATTTTTAAAAAACTTGGTACTTTCAGAAATGATTCTTTATAATATTTAGGAAACGAAATAAAAAGAATTAAGTTTAAATTTTTATTATTTATCTCAAAATATGTATTTAAAGTGGACAAGGTGCGGAAAAATGTCACCTTTTTAGCATTTAGAAACTTTTTTTAAAAACGTAGAAAAATTGTTAAAAGTGTAAAAAAAATTATTTTTTCTTGTTTAGAATCGATTAATTATCTATTTTTGAATGATTAAAGTAGTAAATAAATTAAAATAATATATAAAATAAGTTTTCAAAGTTGGTCTGTCAAATAACCTAATTTTGGGATTTTTATTAATTAATTATTAAAAAGTGGAATTATTAAATAAAATAAAAACTCACTGAATGTAAAGTATTTGCGGTGAACTTTCAAATTTTCTTAGCACTTTTTACTTTTTAAATTTATAAATGTAAAAAATCTTGAGTCGAAAATTGGCACTTTGTTGATTTTTCCGATTTTTAATCGCTTATAACTCTTTTGGTGCAAAATAAAAACTTTTGAAACCTGGCGGAATATTTAAGTTAAATCTAAATAAAAACTCACTGCAATTTTCGTGATGGATTTTGATCGAGATTAGAAGAAAATTTAATTCCAAAATTGTACGTATATTTCCAGGTTAATGTATGTAATTTTTCGTCTTTGAAGTAGTGGCCCAACTTCAAGTTTAAAAAAATTACATACATTAACCTGGAAATATACGTACAATTTTGGAATTAAATTTTCTCCTTATCTCGATCAAAATCCATCACAAAAATTTAAGTGAGTTTTTATTTAGATTTAACTTAAATATTCCGCTAGGTTTCAAAAGTTTTTATTTTGCACCAAAAGAGTTACAAGCGATTAAAAATCGGAAAAGTCAACAAAGTGCAAATTTTCGACTCAAGATTTTTTACATTTATAAATTTAAAAAGTACAAAGTGCTAAGAAAATTTGAAAGTTCACCACAAATACTTTACATTCGGTAAGTTTTTATTTTATTTAATAACTCCACTTTTTAGTAATTAATTAATAAAAATCCCAAAATTAGGTTATTTGACAGACCAACTTTGAAAACTTATTTTATATATTATTTTAATTTATTTACTACTTTAATCATTAAAAAATAGATAATTAATCGATTCTAAACAAGAAAAAATAATTTTTTTTACACTTTTAACAATTTTTCTATGTTTTTAAAAAAAGTTTCTAAATGCTAAAAAGGTGACATTTTTCCGCACCTTGTCCACTTTAAATACATATTTTGGGATAAATAATAAAAATTTAAACTTAATTCTTTTTATTTCGTTTCCTAAATATCATAAAAAATCATTTCTGAAAGTATCAACTTCTTTAAAAATTATGCCGCAACGACTTTAGGTGAAATATAATGGAATGACCCCGCTATATTAGTTTGTGCACACATTGAAGGAATACTCTTAGAAAGGTCTTCTAGGTGTCAAAATTTAGGGCTTATTGAAAACTCTTAAATGCTTTTATGCCAAATTTAACACTTTCTTAGCAAGTCTAAACGATTTTTTTTTAAAATAAGCACTTAAGAATTACTTGCTTATTTATTGCTTGTAAATGGCACTGTATTGGCTGTTTAAAAATGATCTACCAATCCTAAAAACTACCCCCGACTAGTTCAAAAATTTATTTTTGAATTTTTTTATAGAAAATAACGATTTTTTATAAACAAATTATTTTTTTTAACTTTAGACCCGTTGTTTTACTTTTTTTATATTTACATACATGAAAATACTACTAAAATACTTTGTAAAATGTTTTACTGATAACCTGATTACCCTTTTTGGATGACTACTCGAAATTTTTTTTTGCAAAATATTCTTACTATTTTGAGGTATGTAAAAATAAAAAAAGTAAAAATAATAGCTTTCACAGTTTAAAAAAATTAATTTGTTTATTAAAAATCGTTATTTTCGATAAAAAAATGTAAAAGAAATTTTTGAACTACTGAGGCGAAGTTTTTGAAGTTGGTGGATCGTTTTTGAAAATGCAATTTAGTGCTATAATAATGAGCCTTAAATTAGCCCTATATTCCAAAGTACTTGTTTTTTGTAAAAACTGAGTTTGAAGTACTCAGGGGTAGCTTTTGAAATTGGTGGATCATTTTTGAACATCTAATTTAGTGCTATTTAAGAACCCTAAATTAGCCCTAAATTTCTAATTACTTGATTTTGAAAAAATTGATTTTGATTTTCTCAGGGGTGGTTTTTGAAGTTGGTGGATCATTTTTGAATATCCAATTCGGTGCTCGTAAAGAGCCATAAATTATCCCTAAATTCCTAAGTACTTTTTCATGAAAAAATTGAGTTTGAAATACTCATGTATAGTTTTTAAAATTAGTGGATCACTTTTGAACATTTATTTAGTTCTATTTAAGAGCCTTATATTAACCTTAATTTCTAAGGACTTGTTTTTTGAAAAAATTGAGTTAGAACTACCCAGGAGTAATAATTGGAGATGTTTTTTTGAACTTAGGGGTGGTTTTTGAAAAATTTAAATAGTCTTAGTTGAGAACCCTACTCTCTAAATCTGAATTAGTAGTTTTCTACTAATGAAAGAGTGCGGATTCGTTTACCAATTGAATTAGTAACAGTTTTTACTAATTTTTAGTAAAAAAACTACTAATTCATAGCGTAAATCGGCTTACTAATTTGAAATAGTAAAAAATACGAGTTACTCCATAAATTAGTAGTTTTCTACTAGCAATTAGTAGTTTTTTTTACTACAAATTAGTCATAACTGTTACTAATTCAATTAGTAAACGAATACGCACTCTTTCATTAGTAGAAAACTACTAATTCAGATCCAGCTTGACGTCAAGCTAGCAGTACGAAGGGTTACTTTAAATAGGTAAAGGGCCCTAAATTTTTGCATGAGGTACTAAATTAGCCCTAATTGAGCCCTAAATGTTAGCATATATAAAAACTTTTTTCGTGGAAGTGGTACTTCTAGGATTAACGACCTTTTTGGCTAGACTTTTCAGATGAGCGACGCTATTTAGGGTCTGACTACTGGCTGAGTAGCAGCAGAAATGGGCAAGCTTATCAAGTAAAAGTTGAATTTTTGCAAATATTTCGCGAAATAATGCCGGCATTAAATTCGACAATAGAGCATTCAAGAGCCTTAAAAAAGCCCTAAATTTTGACCTATAGTAGACCTTCCTACGACTAATCCTTCGTTTTTGGACAAACTTTTGTAATGTTAAACATAATTTTTGCAAATTATTCGTGAAATAATGCCGGCATTAAATTCGTCAATAGAGCATTAAGGAGCCTTAAAAAAGCCCTAAATTTTGACCCATAGTAGACCTTTCTACAAGTGTTCCTTCATTGTGTGGACAAACTGATATCAAGTAAAAATTGAATTTTTGCTAATAATTCGTGAAATAATGCCGGCATTAAATTCGGCAATAGAGCATTGAGGAGCCTTAAAAAAGCCCTAAATTTTGACCTATAGTAGACCTTCCTATGAGTGCTCCTTCATTGTGTGGACAAACTGATATCAAGTAAAAATTGAATTTTTCAATTATTTCGCGAAATAATGCCGGCATTAAATTCGGCAATAGAGCATTGAGGAGCCTTAAAAAAGCCCTAAATTTTGACCCATAGTAGACCTTTCTACGAGTGTTCCTTCATGATGTGGACAAACTGAGATAACGTAAAAATTGAATTTTTGCAAATAATTCGCGAAATAATGCCGGCATTAAATTCGACAATAGAGCATTCAAGAGCCTTAAAAAAGCCCTAAATTTTGACCTATAGTAGACCTTCCTATGAGTGCTCCTTCATTGTGTGGACAAACTGATATCAAGTAAAAATTGAATTTTTCAATTATTTCGCGAAATAATGCCGGCATTAAATTCGGCAATAGAGCATTAAGGAGCCTTAAAAAAGCCCTAAATTTTGACCCATAGTAGACCTTTCTACGAGTGTTCCTTCATTGTGTGGACAAACTGATATCAAGTAAAAATTGAATTTTTGCAAATAATTCGCGAAATAATGCCGGCATTAAATTCGACAATAGAGCATTCAAGAGCCTTAAAAAAGCTCTAAATTTTGACCCATAGTAGACCTTTCTACGAGTGTTCCTTCATGATGTGGACAAACTGAGATAACGTAAAAATTGAATTTTTGCAAATAATTCGCGAAATAATGCCGGCATTAAATTCGACAATAGAGCATTCAAGAGCCTTAAAAAAGCCCTAAATTTTGACCTATAGTAGACCTTCCTATGAGTGCTCCTTCATTGTGTGGACAAACTGATATCAAGTAAAAATTGAATTTTTCAATTATTTCGCGAAATAATGCCGGCATTAAATTCGGCAATAGAGCATTAAGGAGCCTTAAAAAAGCCCTAAATTTTGACCCATAGTAGACCTTTCTACGAGTGTTCCTTCATTGTGTGGACAAACTGAGATAACGTAAAAATTGAATTTTTGCAAATAATTCGCGAAATAATGCCGGCATTAAATTCGACAATAGAGCATTCAAGAGCCTTAAAAAAGCCCTAAATTTTGACCTATAGTAGGCCTTCCTACGAGTGCTCCTTCATTGTGTGGACAAGCCACCTTAATGTTAAGCTAGCTTGTCCACAAGTTTTTTAAAGAAAATGCCGAGCATTAAATTCGGCATTAGGGCATTAAATTAGCCTTAAATTAGCCCTTAATTTTCAAATAGGTTTTATCCAGATCGGACAATGTGGACAAGCCAGGTTAACGGACCTTATATATATATATATATATCTTCCTACATTACAAAAAGATATCGCCGCCACCGCTGCCGCTGTTTTAAGAATTCTTGACCTAGGAGGGGGGAGTCCCCCCTTCTAAATTTTGAGGTTGTGTTCGTTTCAAGGCTCTGAATATAGCTGCAAGTACCCCCTCCCTCTTCTCATTTCCCCTCCTCCGCCAAAATGGACTAAATTTTAAGGTTATGTTCGTTTCAAGATTCTGAATATAGCCGCAAGTCCCCTTCTTTTCCCCGCCAGAAATGACCTAAATTTTGTGGTTATGTTCGTTTCAAGGCTCTGAATATAGCCGCAAGTCCCCCCTCCCTCCTCTCATTTTCCCTCCTCCGCCAAAAATGACCTAAATTTTGAGGTTATGTTTGTTTGAAGACCCTAATAAAGCAGTAAGTCCTTCCCCCTTCCCTCATCTCTCTCTGTATTTCCCGCCAAAAATGACATAAATTTTAAGGTTATGTAAATTTCAAGACTTTCAATATAGCCGCAAGTGGAGGTGGAGTTTCTGCCAAAAATGACTTGAATTTAAAGGTTATGTTCGTTTCAAGACTTTTTAATAATTTATTGGTTTTTAGGCAATTTCATTAAAATTATTTTTAAAAATAATTTCTTAATGTCGATTTTAATTTATTTAATTATTTATTTATTATTAATTTAATTAATTTATTAATTAAAATTTAATAATTTTAATTTTAATAATATTTATTCAGATTTCAATGAATTTGTAATAATAATTCTTTGAAATAGGTGGTTCATTTGGAAAAATAAGATCAATGGAAAATTAAAAAAAAATGATTAAAACAGGGGGGTTGGCGCGCGAAGCGCGCAGGGGGGCGTAGCCCCTCTTTTATATGAGAGATTCTTTTTCAATCGCCCCAGCCCAAAAAGTCAATGTTCTGGGATTGGCTTCATACTTTGGTAAATTGTTCTCCTATATGATAGTAATAAATCCCTAAAATATAAACTCATTAAAAAAATATTTGTAGAAAGTAGAGGGGGTTGAAGTTCTGACGTTAAGGGTAACATTGTCATTTTCAAATCCGTATAACTATGACAAAAGTTAATGGATTTTAATTTATCTATAATGAATTTTATTGCATTTTTCACGTACTTTTCAAAAATGTATACAAAATTTAAAAAAAAAAATTTTTGACCCCTTTTTTTTCAAAATCAACCCTTATTTTTCGATTTTCACCCCTTCGGGAATTTTTTTTTGTTTTTTTTTTATTTTCATTGGAAAGCTGAGGTTTTTTCCCATGAGCTATGTAAATATGAAAATGGGACAACAATAATTTTGTGAGAAACATAATATTAAATTAGGCGGTGCCTATCTAAATCCTCAAAGATGATCTCCAGGTACACCCCTTATCGGCACCGCCTACTTTAATATTCTGTTTCTCACAAAATTATTGTTGTCCCATTTTCATATTTACATAGCTCATCGGAAAAAACCTCAGCTTTCCAATGAAAATAAAAAAAAAAAAAAAAAAAATACCCGAAGGGGTGAAAATCGAAAAATAAGGGTTGATTTTGAAAAAAAAGGGGTTAAAATTTTTTTTTTTTAATTTTCGTATACATTTTTGAAAAGTACGTGAAAAATGCAATAAAATTCATTATAGATAAATTAAAATCCATTAACTTTTGTCATAGTTATACGGATTTGAAAATGACAATGTTACCCTTAACGTCAGAACTTCAACCCCCTCTACTTTCAACAAATATTTTTTTAATGAGTTTATATTTTAGGGATTTATTACTATCATATAGGACAACAATTTACCAAAGTATGAAGCCAATCCCAGAACATTGACTTTTTGGGCTGGGGCGATTGAAAAAGAATCTCTCATATATATATATATATTTTGCACGCGCTCTACCGTTAGTTTTTCGTACGACCAAGTACTCTATTTGAACTGTTCTTTCACTGAAAAAATAATATGCTATTTTTAAATTAGAATTTCATTGCATAGAATTTTCTTTCAGATGAATTTTCATTTCTTCCAATTATTATTTGATATCATTTCCATATAACCAATTTTTCATACTACAGAATTTTAACTTAACCGAAAAATCATTTAACAGAATTTTTAATTGATAGAATTTTCATTTGTCCAAAATTGCAAATGGCTGAACAAACGCAATCGATAGAAAGATTTCGGCGCGATTTTTAAAATCAACCAATCAAAAATTATCCATAAAATTGTGATTGGTTGATTTTAAAAATCGCGCCGAAATCTTTCTATCGATTGCGTTTGTTCAGCCATTTGCAATTTCGGACAAATGAAAATTCTATCAATTAAAAATTCTGTTAAATGATTTTTCGGTTAAGTTAAAATTCTGTAGTATGAAAAGTCGGTTATATGGAAATTATATGAAATAATAATTCGAACAAATGAAAATTCATCTGAAAGAATAAAATGAAAATTCTATGCAATGAAATTCTATCCAATAAAAATTCTTTAAATTATCTATTATGTTAAATGAAAATTCGAGCAAATAAAAATTCGAACAAATAAAAATTTTGTAAAGTGAATTTTCAGTTATATAAAAATTGTGTAATATAGAAAATAGTTTTGATATAATGTAAATGTTTTTCTAATTTTTCATAATTTAAAATTTTCAATAATGTCAGAAAATAAGTTGACACTGTATAATGAATGTAAACCTTGATCGATTGAAATTTCACTAGTTGAACAAATAAGCAATTATTGCAGCAAAAAATAAAGAGAAAAAGAAAATTTAACTCAAACTTATTGAAAATTTATATTAATGTTGATATTTTGAAAAATTGGTTAGAAAATTTATATTGATTGCATCATAATAGATTTTGCCAATTTGTGTATATATATAAGATAATTAGATGTCAAATATGATAAAAGAAAATAAAAATAAGAAAAATATTGAATTTCTGTTTTTTTTTGTTGAATGTTTGCAGATATTAGATTGTTCGTCAGTTGAAAATGTGACATCGGACGATCTGTCTGTAAGTTGTACTCATCGTTCACGAACAGGGTCAGTGGTAAAGGGTCGACAATTGGATTGGAGTTTCCTCTTCGTGGCCGTGTTCATCGTGGCCGGTGGTCTTGGCAATATCCTGGTTTGTTTGGCAGTGGGCCTGGACAGGCGATTGCACAATGTAACAAATTATTTTCTTTTATCCCTCGCCGTAGCAGATCTTCTCGTCAGTCTTTTTGTCATGCCTCTTGGTGCCATACCTGGATTTCTAGGTAACTATATTTATTCTTTTTATTCAATTTCAAAAAATTATTATATTTTGAAATAATATATTATTATACAGTGAAAGACTTTTTATTTCAAAAATTAATATAATTTATTTAAAAATGAGGAAAAATTTGCTTTTTGTACTATTTAGTCGTATGAAACTTACTACCCAGATAGCACCAAACTTTACAGGAAGTTAACGACAATAAGTTTGGAAGTTTTATTTTTCCTCAGAGTTTAAGTTAACATTGTTAACTTGTTGAAACTTAGAAAAGTAAATTTGCTGAAAGTTTTCCTTTGTAATTTTACACAAAATTTTTATAGTATACTCAAAAATCTATTTTCATGCGCAGATGTTTTCTGTGGCAGTTAGGGCTGCGCAATAATTTTTAATTACATTTCCTTATAGACAAGCTATGAATGTACTAAAATACATACATTTTGAAAAAAAAATATTTTTTTTTTAATTTTTAATTTATCGGAAAAAACTTCTTGCAAAATTTATGCAAACTTACTAAACACAACTTTCGGCAAATTTAGCTTTATAAATTTCAGCAAGTTAACAGTGTTAACTTAAACCCTGAGGATATTTAATACTTCTGGGAAGTTAACAGTGTTAACTTCCGAACTTATGGTCGTTAACTTCCTGTTAACTTCTTGCAAAATTCAGTGTTATCTGGGTAGTTTCTAAACAAACAATACCAAAAGTTAATACAGTCCATTTTAATTTTAAGTATTATTTTTTTTTTTTGAAATAAAAAGTCTTTAAGTTTACATATATTCGTATATATAATTTTTAACCCTTTGAGGAATATTTTTTTTATACGTTATGGAAAATTGTTTTTTCAATCATAATAATTCAAAGAATATATATAATAATATAAATTCTTGTTCTGTAATTGTAAAATTATTTTGCCTTGTGAAACAAACAAGAAACTCGAGGACATCATATTACAAAGTTTTGTAATGTTCTTATTCTTTTTTATTTTCTTCATTTTCTACGATAGGAAATTTTCCAATTTATAGATTTTTTGAAGCGTAAATGGCTTTCAGAGTGAGTTAGTTCTTAATTTGACATTTCGAAATGGAAAAAGCAGTAACGTTTCAATTTGATTACAATTCTCGGATTACATATATGTAACTTTATGAACTTCCCTTTTTTTCAAGGCAATACTGAGAAACTCACATTCATTTTGCAATGGAAATAATTTTATCAAAAAAAAAAAAAAAAAAAAAAAAGAAAAAAAAAAGAAAATTGGCTTCTAAAAATATTCCATTGGAATTTATTAGTTAAGAAAAAAATTGATAAAGAAAAGAAGTGTCAATAAAAATTTGTAACACCTTTTTTGGTTCTAAATTTTCTTTCTATTTCTCCAAATTCAGTTTTTAGAGTACTATATATGCTATTTCTCGAAATTTTATTTGCGACTATATATACTCGCATATATCTATAGTATAGTGCCACTTTGAAAATTTTGTAGCCACAGAGAGTCATATTTGAAACTCAATTTCCTCGATATTAAAATGAGGAAGAGGTCATTTTTGACTTGATTATTTATTGTCCACAATGAAAACTGAATTATGCATGTATATTTTGATTACAATATGTCATAACTATAAATGCAAGAATTGTTTACATATAACATTGATTGACATGTTTATCAAATCACGAATGCAAAATTTAGAGAAGTGCAAATATGAGAGAAATAGATATACATATATATATATATGTCTGTCTCTGTAAACAAATACATATACATATAATAGCATTACAAATCCTTCACAAATTTTCCAATTTCAAAATGTAATCCACCGTACGTGAATGAGAGTCAGCTGTTTGGAAATGAGCCAAATTTGGTCCATGTAAAACTTTTCCAAAGTTCACAATGTTTTCAAAACCACAAGAGATAACTAAATATATATGTAGATTCTTTTTCTATATTTTATATTATAATAATCGATCACAATTCTTCATTCTTTTGCTCGAAGAATTTATCATAATCTATTTACATTTTATAATATAAAAATTTATATATATATTAATTTAGATCAATAATTCAAAAAATAGTAATAATAATAATAACACTGTGTTACTCTCTAAATTTGAATTAGTGACTCACTTTTTGATTTTTAATTAGTTAAATTTTACTAATTCCCTAGTGAAAACAATTTTTTTTTTACTAATAATTAGTTAAATTTAACTAATTCAAAAGCAAAAATTGAGTCATTAATTCAAATTAGTTAAAATTTTTACTAATTCACATTAGAAAGTAGTTCAAAATTGGAAAAAACTTGGCACTTATCAGATAAATCCAAATCCAGTACGGTGAATTCAATGGCTTTAGCCCTTTTTCAAAGGTTAAATTTTCAAAATGTTTTACATTTTCCACTTTTTTTTTTTGGTTCATTATAAAAAAAATACTTTTTCTCTAATCAAAATGCATTGCGGAGTCACTTGAAACCCGTTACTCAGGAGTTTTTGTAGTCGCTGATTACGAATTTGAAATTAATTAATTTTTAATTTTTTTCGTCCACCATTTTGTATCCTCCATTTTGAATTAAAAAAAATTGACTTCAAATTCGTAATCACCGACCCCAAAAACCCCCAAGTAATGAGTTTAAAGCGAATCCGATCAATTTAAAAAAAATTCATCATCCATATTGGATCTGCCATTTTGAATTTTGAAAATCAGATGATTATACGACTTTTTCCGACTTCTTTTTGAATATGACTTTTTTGACTTATTTATTTCAATTATTTAACAAATTTTTAACTAAAATTCTTTACTAAATTAATTATTTTTAATAATTTTAATGAAATTCTTCACAAATTCAATTATCTTAAACTATTTTTCAGTTAAAATTTTTATGAAATTTAATAATTGTTTATAATTTAAAAAAAAATTAGCAAATAAAATTACTAAAAATATTTAATTTAAATCGACTAAAATGACTTTTTTTTTGACGAAGCTGAAGTACGCAACGTTTATGATAAACGATTTTTAAAGAAATAATTGTTGAAGGTTATGTGGGAACGTCCCACTTGATCTAGTATGGGAAAATGTGTTTTCGTAGTATACGTTTCACTCTAAAATGAGAAAAGATTTTTGTCTAAAATTTTAAGGGATGATAAATTAGGGTACAAGGAAACTCGCTATTCTCCGAAAAATACATAATTTTGAGTAAAATTATTAAAAAATGAAGTTTAACCCTTTCGTTCCCATGGGACATATATGTCCCACCTACAAAAACCTCAATAACTCTGAACAAAATTAATATTTCTAAGTCTGCTTTGAGGCATTTTCTTCAGGAGGAATAGTGCTTTCAAAATTTCTAGACCAGATGATGTCTAAAAATTTCTATTGTTTAAAAAAATATATAAATAAATATTAAAAATGACCAATTTTTAAAACCGTTCAGATTCGCCTGAAATTTGTTACTCGGGGGTTTTCGGGGTCGCTGATTACGAATCCAATGTTAGTTTTTCAAAATTCAAAATGGCGGATCCAATATGACGGACGACTTTTGGAAAATCTAATGCAATTCGCTTGAAACTCGTTACTCGGGGGTTTTTGGGGTCGCTGATTACGAATCCGGTGTTAGTTTTCAAAAATTCAAAATGTTCGATCCAATATGGCGGACAAATTTTTGAAATTGTTAGATTCGCCAGAAAATTGTTACTCGGAGGTTTTCGGGTCACTGATTACGAATCTGAAGGCAAATTTTTAAAATTTTCATAATTCAAAATGGCGGATTCAACATGGCATAAAAAATTTTAAAAATTGACCCAATTCGTTTTAATCTTGCTTCTCAAGGGTTTTTGGGGTTACTAATTATGAATCTGGAGTCAGATTTTTGAAATTTTTGAAAATTCAAAGATGGATCCAATATGGTGGACGAATTTAAAAAAAAAAAAACAAAAACCCTCGAGAAGCGAGTTTGAAACGAATTGGGTCAATTTTTTAAATTTTATCCGCCATGTTGAATCTGACATTTTGATTTATGAAAATTTTAAAAATCTGCCTTCAGATTCGTAATCAGCGACCCCGAAAACCTCCGAGTAACAAATTTTAGGCGAATCTAACAATTTCATAAATTTGTACGACATATTGGATCCGCCATTTTGAATTGTTGAAAACTAACACCGGATTTGTAATCAGCGACCCCAAAAACCCCCGAGTAACGAGTTTCAGGCGAATTGCATTAGATTTTCCAAAAGTCGTCCGCCATATTGGATCCGCCATTTTGAATTTTTGAAAACTAACACCGGATTCGTCATCAGCGACCCCAAAAACCCCCGAGTAGCCATTTTCGAGCGGATTTAATCACTTTTAAAAAAATTGTCCGCCATGTTGTACCAAACAAAATCATTTTTCCAAAATTTTAACCCGAAATCATTTTTTATTTCAGAGTAAGTTTTAAATCACAAAAAAACGTCCTTTGCCCACATACCCTTAAAATGAAAAATTCTATAATTTTTTTTCCGCTAAATATTTCTTGTAGTTTTCATTAATCAATAAATTATAAAAAAAAATATTTTTTAGGCAAAAAATTATAGAATTTTTCATTTTAAACAATTATTTCTTTAAAAATCGTTTATCATAAACGTTGCGTACTTCAGCTTCGTCATTTTTTGTGCTTTAAAGTCGATCCGAGGCCTGTACTAAGTTTATAGAAATTTTTTTTCCTATATTGTTTATTATAAAAAAATATCAATAAAGATTACATATTTATTTTTTTCTATTCTTGAATTGGATAAAAAAAATGTCCATTCGTATATATATATATATATATATATATATATATATAGATGCAAAAAGTGTTTTAATCATGATCATAAAGCACTCATGATAATATTTTTTGACACTCTACTCAAATCCCTCTTTCTCATATTCCTCCCACATCAACATGCGGTTTGTCCAGTTTTTGGATAAAGTTCTCTTTCGTGTGATACACAGTAAAAGCGTTATCTCGTATATTTGAATTGCAGAATGAGAACTTGTTA